TCGTAAGCAGAAAGGCCCCCACGGGGGAACTGCCGCTTCTCTTTTCTCTCTCCTCGACGCTCGGCATACACTGCGTTCGCACGCGCGCGCGTTTGAAGCTTGAAACTTTTCGACACTTGGATCCACGCGAATTGCGCGGAAAGTCGCGGGACAAGATCCCAATTAGATCCCGAGAACGCTCCGCGCGCGGTTTCTCTTCATTTCGCGCCTCGCCAGACTCCCCGGCGAGATGATGCTCGACGATACCGGACGCGCTTCGACATTTGACACTCGACATTTCGTGGAGTTTCGCGACGGATATAAAGCGCGCTTGTTTGGATCCTTTCGGAATCGGAACCGCGCGATCGGTATCATCGCCCTGCGCTCGGAATAGCGGCCGCGTTCTTTCCGCGCGAGGAAGACGGGAGAGGGGGGGATATATCGGATTTAGTTTTTTGTGCCGGCGAATCGATCAGTTTGAACTCATCTGACCTCGAGAGGACGTAGAAGAGGGTTGGGGGCGGGGGAGCGCGAGAGGCTGAAAATAAGAAGATATAGATAAAGGAGCTGGAGAGCTGCACGTTGGCCTAACAAGGCTCAGGACTCAGGGGCTATTATCATAATTGTGGGCTGCAGGCAGCGGCTGTACCCACAAACCAGAATGCCTCTTGTCTCATCTGCCTTCGTATTCGTCTTCTTCTTCTTCTTCCCCTCTTCTTTTCTCCTCCTTCTTCTTCTTCATCATCTACTTCGTCGTCGTCTTCTTCCCCTTCTCCTTCTTCTTCTTCTTCCTCTTCTCTCCCCCCCCTCTCCAGCCCGCACTTCACTGATCTTTTTCTACGTTTCTTCCTCCTCGCGACTTTTTACTCAAACCCTCGTCTTCGCGCGTCCCTTTAGTGGCCCTTTGCACGCCCTAAAGACAAATGGAACGGCCTCCGCATTCAGCGCGCTTCTCTGTTCCATATTTCCATCTAAATTAACAGAACGATGATTAATTCACGGCGATGAGCGCCGATGCGGCGAGACATCGCACAAAGAGATCTCCTTCGATACGTGAAATAGGTCGCTCGGGACAATGTTTTTTGCGATGCAAAGCGTGCACGTGTATGTGTGTGTACATGTGTCTCTGTGATCCGTTTCGCGGAATATTCGCTATTAGCAAACGTTTCTGAATATCTGTGGAAATGTTGCAAATAACCTCTAGTTCCGCGATCAATATTGAAATCACATTCGGCGGTGTTGTTAATTGGATCGAATAACTCAGTGTTTCCGATAATGTAACCGATACAAGTAACACCAATTACACGGGATACGCTATTTAGATAAAATTACAGTTTGTCGGGTGCCTCCTGAAGGTTCGTTATTAAATTCAACTGTAAATGACGCGGGTCGCTCGACGTGGACCACCCCGAACCAGCTGAAACCCGAGATGAAAAGAGAGAAGAATCGCGTTTCTCTCTCTCTCTCTCTCTCTCCCCCCTCTCCCCCCTCTTTCTCCCCCTCTCCCCTCCCCTCTCCCCTCTCTCCCCCTCTCTCCCCCTCTCTCCCCCTCTCCCTCTCCCCCTCTCCCTCCCCCCCTCTCTCTCTCTCTCTCTCTCTCTCTCTCTCTCTCTCTCTCTCTCTCTCTATCCGTTCTCTTCGAGAGCAACTACGTGGCGCATTTTTCGTGCGCTTCCTTTCCGCTTCAGTGTTAGTTATGAGAAAGCACAAGACAATTAAATCACGGGGGAACATTGGATAATTGAAGGAAGATCGAGCGCGAACACAACTGTTCCGCGTAACTGAGCTTCCTTCTCGACGGTTCCGCTGCAGTATCTTTCTTTTTTTAATTAAGAATTATTGATAAGTAAGAATTTTAATTAACAATGCGCAGGTAGTAGAATACGCCGCAAGTTTGTTCATTGCGCAATGGAGTTCAATTATGCGCCTCTCTTTCTCCTCGCTCCTCCCAATTACCAACAAGAGTACTTCTGTGCCGCTGGTCCAACCGTCGCGAATCTGCATAAAAGGGTTATGCGTCAAGCGTTACGCAGAAGCGCATTGAAGTACTTGTTATTAACGATTGGGACTTTCCACGCGATATTTCAAATCGATATCCCGCCTCTCTCTCTCTCTCTCTCGGTCCCGACTCGTTCAGCTCCCGCTGCGTTAGCTCATTATGCAAACCTTCTTCGCCCTCCTCACTCGAGCCCTCCCCCTTGCCGTGCCGCTGGAAGAGAAGAGAAGAGAAGTCAAAGACACAAGCGGCAGATGCAGATGGGACGGAGTATCTGCTTTTCCGGCGAGTAATGCGAGAGCGAGCGAATGTGTAACTCTTTCGCTCATCCAGAATCGTTGCGCGGCGCGTCGAAGGCGCTTTTTTTCCTCTCCCCGTGTTGTTTCCCGTGCACTCTTTCAGCGAGAGATGCCAGGGGCGTGTATGTTTGTTTAGCCTCGATGTACCCTGTTATTAGGGACCGCTGCCTGTGCCCCTCGAAAACCGTGGGGCCCACGTCGAGATTTGAGCGCCGCGAGCCCGCCGATCGTGCATCCCCCTCGCCGTCCCCTCCCCCCTCGTCCCGAGCGTAAGAGTTCTCGAGAGGAGAAGAACGCCGAGATAAATTCGGGAGAGGATCCCTCCTCCAGCGGATTCCTCCCTCCCTCTCTCTCTCTCTCTCTCTCTCTCTCTCTCTCTCTTCCCCCTTTCTTTCCGCCTCTATCTAGATCTGGTGATTTAGATTCTACCGCGTTTTAATTTATTACCGACGATGGCGACGATTACACGGAAACGCCGCGTCGGCCGGCGTAGGACACGCCGGTGTTCGTTTGGTCGTTCGGCGTATAAGCGAGAGAAGAAAGGAGGGTGTAATGAGAGGTAAAGAAGTTAACAAAACAGCGGCGCCTGTTACGCGTGCATAGCACGAACGAAAATCGAGTTTGTGTTTGTCGAACCGAATTTCCGCGAACGAAACGCGCTACACTTTTGGCGCGCGCGCGCGCATGCGCGACGCTGCCGTCCCGACGATTTTAATTAACAAGCGTTATGCGCGCGGTTGGAAACCCTTCCGGCCTTCCTTTTAGTCCCGAAACGTCTAGTTCGCCGTGTCCCCAACGACTCGAAAAACGCCTAATGTAATTGTACTTTACCGCTCGGCGAGAGCAGACGCGTTGTTTACTTTCCAAAGGCTGCGTCTGCGATTCTCTTGAAAATTCGTTTCGACCCGCGAGAGACCGTATCGCCAGGCAGAGGCGGAACGCGTACGTTTAACGTGTACGCCCTTCCCCCCTCTCTCTCTCTCTCTCTCTCTTATTAATGCGACGTTACCGCCACAATTTATTATGATATCCGCGCGCCGAGCGAGAAAGAAAAGTCCGCCGGTCGTTTCGGTCGTTGCGACTCGTGGGATCGTTCGACGACTTCTCTTTCGCTCGATGCACAATGCGTCCCTGATGACATATCCTGCCATGTCCACAATTGAATACTGTCTGTTTGCGCGGATGGCACGTGACAATGGCCCAAGGCCGATCGCGCACGCGACCGCACCCGGTCGCCGTTATTTGTTTAATTTAAGGCTATTGTTGCGCGAGCGCGCGCTGTTTTCGACGCTCGCCGCTCGAATTATTTCGGCCACGGTCATTTCCCGCATTTTTAACGTGGGAGAGACACCGCCGTGCCCCGCTAGACCGGTCGCTCGGAGAAAGAAAGAGAGAGAGAGGGGGGTCGGGGGGACGGGGGGGGGAATAGCGGGCGTTGATTGTTTGCTTTCAATCCGGCCCGCGGACAACGAGAAGCCGCGCGCGCGGCTCACCCCGACACCCGCTTTTGCTTTACCCGCAATCGATTATTGCCCCGGTACTTTTACCGTGTGCCCCCATTAATGAAACTTTTCACGTAGCCATTTATTAGCGTCCCTTCTTCGCGATAAATAACGCTCGCTCGCTCGCGCGCGCGCGCGCGCGCGCGCGCCCGCTTCGCCGCGACATGTATTATGCATGTAATATTACAAAGCGGATACGCGCGCTCACGCGTAAATTTTCGTTACGCCGATAACTTAATGGCCGGTTAAATATTTCTCGCGCCATTTTTGCATAATTGGATTTTCATAACTGGTTCGAGAGAAGGGCCGCGCTCTTCTTTCCTTTTTCATGTGCGCTGCTCCGATTAGTACGGCTATCGCGGGCCGATCTTACCGCAACCTTACCGGTCCCCTCAAATGTACCGTGCGCGATCTTTCAACGAGACTCGGTACTTGTTGTCGGAACGTCGGTCCGTCGTCGAAGAAGTGCCGCTGAACGTCTATGGGCTTCCATGGGCCCCATGGCCCCGGGAATACGCGCAGGATACCGACATGACCGATCGTCGATGACTGACTTTGCGGAGCGGCGTTGGTTCTACGAAATTATTGTTGGATGATTCTTCCGCGAAGTTGCGAATTCACCGGCCCGAACGTATAATTTACAAATTATTGGAACACAATGTATCCGCATTTTTATCATCTTTCTCGGAAATTTATCACTATCGTATATAATATGACATGCGTCGAAAATAAAATTTACGAGAACAAATTGCTGGGAAGCGGCACAAACAAGTAATATTATGTAACAATAAGTTGACGATAGTAGGAGAGTATATCGATTTGACACAAACATAACGTTCACTTGTCAAACATAATTTTTATACCTTTCAACACACAAAAGTTATTAATTCTTTGACATATTTAACAACTTAGCTGTCAGTGACACATATATGGGCAAATAAATCTCGTGCCACTTTTGCTTTATGACACATATACATATAAACATCTTGAAAAAAACATATTTATACTATTGCGATGTGATTGCGCTTTGATATTTATATGTTTTTGGGGTCGCTGAATCCGAATCTGAAATCAGATTTTATAAATTCAAAATGGTGGATACAATATAGCGGTTGAAAATTCGAAAAACACTTGGATTTCTATAAAAATTGGTATCTTGTGGTTATTGAAGTCTCTGAATATAAATTCATCGGTTATTTTCGATTCGCCGTTTTGAATTGTAAAAATCTGACAAGATTCGGTTTCAGCGATTTGACAAACCCCGAATATCGGGTATCATTAATATAAAATAAGTTTTTGCGTTTTAGTCCGCCATATTGTATCCGCCATTTTAAATTTTGGAAATCTGACATCAGATTCGGGTTCGGCAACCTCAAGAACCCTCGAGTGTCGGTGATCATTCAAATAAAATAACTTTTTGTTTTGGTATTGGTATTTTTGTAATGGATCCGCCATTTTGAATTTCAGAAATCTGATTTCATATTCGGATTCAGGAACCCCAAAAACCGTTATAATGAAATTTGGGTGTAGTTTTGAAAAAAAAATCCAACACACTTTTGGCACGAAAAGTTATTTTTCACTCGATTGCTAAGCGGTTAAACAGATAAATTATTATCGTGTCAGTCTTAATCATAATATTTTCGCCACAAATAAATAAATAAGTAGTGATAAAGTTCACAGTTAACCAGATTAACATATATGCATAAGATGTAACTTACTTATATGCAAAAAATAAATACAAAAAATAAATATATTTCTCTCGAGAACATGATCGTACAAATGTGCATACAGATGTGAAATTTTATCCGAGATGAGGTTGCTGTCTCGCACGTGAGCGTTTTCGAGGAATTTCGCTCTATATAACAATCCAATTGTCTCCGCATGCGTCTCCTCGTTTCTAAAATCACAGTCACGGCAAACTACTGCTTTGAATATTTACGTCTACACGATGTGTTTCCACTTTGAATGCATTATTAATAGATAAATATTTGCCCACGTGTCTCACGTCAATTCCACCAGCCGATAATGATTATGAAGTCATGATTCTGGTTATATAATCATGATCGAAGCTGATGGCCATGTTACAGGTAAATCCGCAGGCATTTCAACGCGGCAATGGCTCGCAGAAAAACACAACGCCATATCGCGGAAAGATACATTTTCTCGCCGAGCGCGTAGAGAGTTGCCCCGGGTTGTCCTCAGTACGAGATCGGGCAATTTTTCTGGTCCGTGCGAATGAAGTACGCTCTGCTGATGTTGCTCTTGTCGATGACTTGATACGCCTTCTCCAAGACTGGGATCGGAGGCTTCGGTTCCCGCGTCAAGATCCAAACGTTCCGTACGCTGCGGAAAGAACGCATTATAATTTTAGGGATTCCGACGGGCAATCGCGTCTCCTCGCTCGATCTAGTCTTCTTCTATGAAAATCTACTCCCTCAGGAGAAAATTACGCTAAGCGTTTCTAATTACAAACAATGCCCTTTCTCCCGCGCGCGCCTTCCTCTTCCACATCTCAGACTCACTTGAACACTCCGAGATTCGTGCAGCTCCACACCACGGCGTACGACTTGTAGTCCGAGTCTAAAACCCAATAAGGCGCATCGATCGGCAGCGGCAAGGATGGAAAAGTGACGGTCAATTTAGGGTCATCGGATCTGCCGATTAACCTGGCGATGCCCTCGATACTCGACGCGACGCCGGTTCTAAAGATGGGAGCAAAATTATTCTTCCGCGAAGTTGCAAATTCACCGGCCCGAACGTATGATTTACAAATTATTGAAACACAATGTATCCGCATTTTTATCATCTTTCTCGGAAATTTATCGCTATCGTGTGTAGTATGATATGCGTCGAAAATAAAATTTACGAGGAAAAATTGCTGGGAAGCGACGCAAACAAGTAATATTATATAACAATAAGTCGACGATAGTAGGAGAATATATTGACCGATTTGACATAAACATAATGGTCACTTGTCGAGATGGACAATCGCTGGCAGAGGTGACTCCTCGTTCTACTTAGCAGTCGCTGTTAGTGAGAACAATGAAACGTGCGCTACACTCACAGCGCAGAGATCTGCTTGTTGACGATGTTCACCGAGCCGCTCTCGCTCATATTGTAATTAGCCGTCACGCATTTTCCGCCAAACTCAAACAGGGCGAAGTACCTCTCGACTTCGTACCATTTGCCTAAATACTGAAAGAGATGTATAAAAATCTGTATTACGAGTATTTACTCCTCTGCTTCAACTGGACGAATGTATTGTACAAAATCGACTCTAGCTTCTAAAATTTGTATCTTCCATTTACGTGATAAATTAAACGTGACGAATTAAACATGATAAATTAAAAAATTTATTTTTATATCATAATTATTAATAATACATGTAAAAATATAAAAGTTGTCCAAGTGTAAATGTAAAAGTAATAAATAAATAAATATTAGTAATTATTATTAATTATTAATTAAATAATAAATAAAAATAAGTAAATCATAATATTTAAAAATAATAAATAAACGTTAGTAATAATTATTAATTATTATTATCAATATTTATTATTATTAATAATTATTATTAATATATTTTTGTTATTTTTATTATTATATTTTTTATATTATAAGTATCAACTTATTATTATTTATTTCTATATTATAATTATTAATAATTAATATAAAAATATGAAAATTGCCCAAGTGTAAGCGTAAAAATAATAAATAAATTAATCATTAATAATTATTATTAATGATTAATTAAATAATAAATAGAGAAAGTATATAATAATAAGCAAAAATAATAAAGAGATATTAGTAATAATTAGTAATAATTATTAATTATTATTAATATTTACTCGTTACTTTTATTATTATATTTTTTCATATTATAATTATTAATTTATTATTATTTATTTTTATATTATAATTATTAATAATAAATATAAAAATATAAGAATTGCTCAAGCGCAAGCAAGTGCGTACGATCTCGGTACTCACCCTTTTGATTTCGAAATTTGGCATCGTTTCCAAATCCGGGCACACTCCCAAGAATGGCACTTGGGCCATGGCCGCACTCGCGAGGAGTAGGATTGCAAGCAGTCGCGACATTACGCCTTCTGCGGAGAAACGCGATGGAATTATTCGAATTTCCTTCGCGCGTCGGACAATGCGGACTTCTCGAGTCTGTCAGCGCGCTCCGGCACGCTCCTGAAGAATAACAATATTTCGCGACGTCGCTACCGCGCTTTCGAAGTGCTCCGTTATTCGCGCGGACTCGGAACAGCGAGGTAATTAACGAGAGCCATCGCGCGCTCTTTTATACCGCATTATCGCGCACTTTTTTACAATGACAATGCCTTCGCGACGCGGGATATATCTGCGCGGCACGTGCATAAGGAGCGTAGCACCGATTGACTCGCCGGACTAGTTTTTACCATTAACGTTGTGCATATCCCGCATCGATTGAATGCAAATTACCATCACCGGCATATAGGAAGAATTAAAAACAATATTTCATATCAAGTACCGTTTTTTGTTCGAAGCGTTGTCGCACCAGCGACTTGAATTTTTAATGCCGCGCTCGAGTCTGTCCTCTTCAACAACACGCGCGGCGATGACGTTATTGGCGCGCAAGTCAGTTCGAGAATTCTCCGCTACGTGGATTATTTAAATACGACCGACCCGATTTCTCATTATTGCACGTGTCTGATTGCTCCGGCGAAGCACCATTCGCGTACAAGTAGATCAATGGTTGATTTGTCAAAATGGGAACTCGATCGAAAATATACGAGATGGGAATAGACGATCAAAGGGACGGCCAAACCGAATACGCGCGGTATCGGTCTCGCAATCTTAATCTAAATGCACCGCTCACCTTGGTAACCTTGACGATCGTGTATCCAGGGAAGAGATACGCTCGGAATATCAATTTGCCGGATTGACAAGGGTTGACGTTGAAACTCCTGGCGCGACGAACCGTTCGCAGGTGACTGCGCTTCCTGCTCTTTCGTTCGCTTCGCGTTCGCGGCGACGGACCCGTGAAGGTTGACTGGATGCGTTTGGCAGAGTTCTGTCAGTTAGTGGGTCAGTAACGGTATACGCCCGGGGTTCAAGAAACCCGTCTCGAATTTGCCATTGACCAATCGATGATCGACGGTTTCGAAGACACGCGAATCGTTTCGAAGTCGGACACGGTGGACCACTTCCGAGCGATTTTTCAATCGCCTTCACGTGGCTCTCGCGACAATCGCCGATAAAAATCTCGACACTGCTTCACGTGCAAATGGGACGAATATCTGGGAAACGGTGAGTCGATTAATGTCAACGTGGACCGGTTTGCTGCAGACGAAAATGTTTCTTGAAATAAAAGTTACGATTGAATGTACGCGATTGTAAAATTGAACACACCTATAAATTGCAACCGCTCGGGGCCGCTCGCGAATTCGATACTGATGCACCGCGAATAGAGACGAATTAATTTTGGATAACTTTTGGTAACCCGGTTATAATAGAAATATAAGCGACACGATTAAAAAGAAGAAAAGAAAACATTGGTTGGAAATGCTAACGCTGGAAAAACGTTCTCTCTTGCGTTGCTTCCGAGAGCACTCGGTTTTTGCGCAGGATATCCTCATGTCGTTAAATTCAACGAAAATATTTGGGCATTCAAGTATTGAAAATATTTAAAATTCTGCCCCTGATGAATTGTTTCGTGCACTTGAAACGCAACGAAAATCGTTTCGCGAAGCTGCCCGTTCGCTGCCCGTCCGGTCGATCAAACAAATGTGTCTTTCATTCGGCGAACTTTGTACTTAATTCCACAAATTTCCACGCTCGCGAGTTTAAATTGATTAAGTTGATTAAGTATCGATGTCGTCGGAGAACGCCCGATTCTCTTATATAATATATTACACAATATCCTCAGACCGACGTCATTATCGTTAAGGCGGCGAGATTAAGCTACCCGCGACGCGAGAGGAATAAAAATATAGCCGTTACATGACCCGCTTCTATTTGTTTATGAGGAGAGAACAAGCGCCGCGTGTGTGACACATTTACTGGTTTTACGCGCCGGCGCGGAAAAGACTTTCAAGAGAGCTCGAGAAAACGTATTTTCTCCCGCATAACATATTCGCGGCGCGCAAAAATCGCGACGACTCTCGCGGGACGCAACACGATCGATAAAAAATGAATATCCCTATCAGCGAATCATCGGCGATTCGTCCGCGCTTATCCGGAATAGATTTCATGGTAATCGCGTGTCGACGCGCACGATAATCCGCTTCCGAGTCGCGACGATTACGCTCGTAAGCCACCAGCAAGCAGCAGCGCAGAACAACGGCCGAATTTCATTGGAACGCTTTTTTATAACAATTTATTTGTCTTTGTCTTTTTTTTACATTCGTCCTTTTTACATCGTTTTCTTTTTACATTACGTAAGCCTATGTAACAAAGCGCCTCGGCGACCTCGGCTCGCGTGCCGAGCGACGGCGTGCCTATGGAGCGTCGCACACAGTGCCTTTGTGGCACCCAGGCGAGGCTGGTGCTCCGGATGAGGAGACCGCTACGAGCCCAGGACGTCGATAACCCCCATGGACATGCCCCGCCAGCAGTGAACTAGCAGACCACGCGTTCCAGCGAACGACGTTTCTAGGCAGTCTTTTCCGTCTCCTGCGCGCGCTCGCTCCGCTCGTCCTGCGCGCTCTCCGCGGCTTTCTCCTCCTTCACCTCGACGATGATCATTTTGTCGCCGGCGTCAGCGCTCTCCTCCTTGATCGCCTCGGCTATCTTGAGGATCCGCTCGGGAATGGCGAGCGGCTTCGCGGCTTCCGCGATTATCTTCGGGATGTCGGAGGTCGAGGGCGCCGCCTTATCCTCCGAGACGTCGGCCTTCCCCAGGAGGTTTACCTCATCGTCCACGGCGCCCAGGGCGACGGCCGACCTGGCGTCACCGCTCTCCTCACTCGTCTGTTCCGGCTTCTTCTTCGGCGGCTTCTCCGTAGCCGGCGTGTCCAGGTACGCGCAGTCGGCCTGGTCGGTCTTCACGAAGAAGGTCTTCGAGATCTTGTACTTGTCGAGGACGCCGTAGGCCTGCCGTAGGTCGGAATAAGAATCATGTCGGTTAACTTGAAGTAAGTACTCGAGCGAGCGAGCGAGCGATTGCTCAATGTGCTGATTGGCGACTACAAAATATGGAGCCGCGAGATGAGATTGATATAATTATATGCGGTATTAATTAGCGATACAGAAGAACTAAGACGGTAGATAACGATGCTAATGCTAATGCTGTCCAAAGCCAAAGGTGCCTTCATGACAACAGTTCGAGGTCCAACTCCAACCGCTTTGCGACTTGACCCGCACGCGATCGTCGATTCGCAACGACGACGTGACGGCGCCGACGACTTCGAAGCGCGACGTTTCGGTGAGTCATCCGTCGATTCAAGCTCCCTCGCTATTATGTCGCAAATAGATGGTCTGTTCTTTTTAGCTGCACTACTGAACTGGTGCAATAAGTGAGAAAAAATATAGTTGTCTCATTCTAACTTATTGCACTAGTTCCGCGGTGCAGCTGAAAAGAACAGACTAATTGTCTTATCGTGCGTCAGCATTTCGAGCAGGGACCAAAGTTCACGGCTAACACGAGCTTTTTGCACGCACTTCATTTAATGATCGGCGAGCATCTTGTGCATCAGCAAGTCGCGGGTGAGAATGAGGGAAGGTTAAGCTCGCGCTTACATTTCTACGGTCGAGCGTACCTTTTGCAGCACCTCGCCAGGCGGTATCCGCTGCCTCGTCATGACCCACGCGTTCTGCGCGTGAACCGGGCCGATACCCTGACAGCTCCACAAAACGGCGTACGAGTCGTAGTCCGTCTCGAGCACCGAGTACTTGGTCTCGGGGGCCAGCGGAATTGTGTACCTAACCAGGAGTTTACCCTCCTCGGCTTTCGAGGCTGCCGGCTTAATTTCACCCTCCAGTATCCTCTTGATGCCGGTGCTGAAGAGCAGAGCTGTCATTAACGGGGATCGCCATGCCGCGCGCGCGCGTCGCGTCGTGTAATCGCTCTTCTTCAACGAAACTGATCGGCCCGATTCGGGCGCGCAGCTCGGGTACTCACAAACGATTCGTAACCTGATTGCTCACGCGGTACTTCCCGTCGGCGCCTCTGGTGTAATTCGTCATGACGCATCGTGACACCACTTCGCTGAGCTGGAAGTATCTCTCGGACTCGTACCAGACACCCATGAACTGTAACGACAGTTGTTGAACAGGTTAATCTCAATTAGCATGATCGATGGCGCATCCGACAACCGAGCGGAGGAGCTGCAGAGGATGAGTGCTCGAGGGGAGCGCCGCGTCGACAAGGTATACGATTATGAAGATGAAATTAGTATAATTACGCATGTAAAAGATAATACGAATAAATTAATCTTTACTGAACGGTAGTTTCACAGGATGGCTAATAAGTGCCCGAGCTGATTTCACGGCGATAATCCCGTGACCAAGTTTATGACAATAACTTTACGACCAACTCTGATGCATGAATATTGACCGTGTGCGACTTTTACGATCTCACATCCGCTCGAGAGTCGCGGTAATGAAGTGAGCCAAGTGTAACAGCGGGAGCTATAAAAAGTACGAGCAAAGCGACGTGATAAAATAGAATGGAGCGATGGGAAAGCGGTACGCACCCTCTTCAAGTCGAAGTTCGCCATAGGCACGTATTCCGGACAGAATCCCAAATTCGGGATCTGCGCGCTGGCGCAGGCCAGGAGCGAGAGTGCTAGGACGACCTTCGCGAACATGTCTGATGACGATCTGCCTTGGGTATCCGCCGAGGCTCCGATCTTATATACATTAAGCAGGAGCGTTGACCGAACGGTCTCATACCCCCTCTGTGTTGCCCACGTGTTGGTACTCTTACGGTACTCTCCGTGGCCCGAGAGCCTGGCCGTGCAGACGGTGGTCATTGGTCAATGATGCGCCTACGAATCTCTTGGCAAGCTCGATTGGCGACCACCAGGAACCAGAAATGCAAGCTCCATTATGCAACTACTGGACAAACGGTACTTCCAGATTGGAAACGCCGCGGTCCCTTCGGGGACCGCGGCGCCGGCGGAGCGAGGCCTCCCGGCTATTATACCGCTGGAATGCCGGATGATTCTTCGAACCGAGCGCGAGGTTAACGGATTGGATGAATTCTAACCCGCCGTGAGCGCGTGTCGTTCATATTCGCGCTAATTAGGAGCGCGATCGTGAGATAACGATGGCTGCGCCGCGCCGCGCCGCGCCGCGCCGGCGGCGGCGGACTTCTCGAGTCTCGTGGGGCGTCGTAACAGTCTGCTGCTTCTTTCGCGCGCAAGCGAAATGTATTGGCAAAGTGTGCATTACATAATAATAATCGTGATAATAATTTCTCATTTCTTTATGATAATACATAAGCGAGCGCTGCTCGCACAAGAACAAACCAGACAAACGCAATCTCTCAAAATTCGTATCGCAATCCGCGGGACGGACAAAAATAGTAAAATAAAAAATAGTGAAATAAAATAAAATAATAGTAAAATGAAACAAAAATAGTAAAATAAAATAAAATATAAACAAGATGGAATATGTGTGAACGAAAAGCAAAATACAGAGAAATGACAGAGGTAAAGAATTTGCGGTAGCGCTAAAAAGAGAAGGGGCTCGAAATTTGCATCAGATATACGTATATGTGAAAAAACAGACCCATTCCATGTCATCAAATATTTCTGATTATCATCAAACGTGTATATTACATTTTTGATTCACGAGGGAGTGCAAAAATATTCATGATAAATTTCCCTTTGATCACGTCGCGCGTGTTTGATCGGTGAGATGAAATAACCGGTGTGCAATCATTCTGTTTACAGGCAAAAATTGCATGAGGTCATTACGTGTCATCGTTAAACATTAAAGGACGGCACTGGTGGTACTGCTCGCAACTGCTCCGAAAGCACCGATGATACATCGCCATCTCTCTGCACGAAGCTCATCGGTCTCGAGGTGGCCGATCAAGGCCCGACGGCGTCGTTGCTTTTCCGTAGTCATTCATAGAGCAGGTTTCTCGCGCGTATTTACGTTGCGAGACAAGCGTAATCCGGCGCACACAGGCACCTCTGGACAAACAGAGCTCTCACGCGGAGTACATTACAGAGTACCGCCCCGTTCCGTCGCGGTGTAATTATGCAATCGACACCGTCCGGACGCATACGGCATACGCCGTCTCGCTGGAACGTAGCCCACTAGTAACGGGTCAGGCAGTGTCTTTTCTTTTTGTACAAAACCAAAGAGTCCCCGGACCGTTAGCCGACAACGCTGCGCGTCTCTCCGGGTATTCTTTGGGGATCCCGATTCTCCGAGACGGCGGACCGCTATGCGCCGTTTAGCGAGAACGACAATTAGCCGTTCCACGTCGATCGCCGGTCGATCATCCGGCACGAGCTTCGAGATTCTACGGCCTCGTTCCCGAGAAGAATGATGAGGCGAGACCGAACTCGGGCCGGACGTGTGACGTCAGGCGTGTCGATATTGCTTTCGGTGCGGCATACTTTATATGAGCTGTGATTAAAATGCTTCAACATAAGAAAGGAAGGAATCAAGAAACGTAAAGTACGAGGTGTAATTCTACAGCTGCAAAAGCAGGAGGAATGAGATTTTACATGTATAGATACGTAATATGTTGTTGTTGTTATTATTATTATTATTATTATTGTCCGGGAAAGTTTAGGTCGAGTAGAAGTTGAAAATATTTTTTTTTCTTGAAAGAAAAAAATGTAATAGAAAGGTAAATATATATTGAAATAAATTTTTGTCGATAATGACGATTTTGCGAGATGAATAAACAATGGAAGAGAAAAGAATATCGTTTTTTATCTGTGGTCTTTAAAAATGCAACTTTTTTTTGAGAAATGTTTATACATAGACAGATGAGTGTGTGTGCGCGCGCGCGCGCGCGCGATGAACCGCGATAGTTTTTGCAAGGGAGCAAAAGAGGGAAATTTGTATAATACACACAGTTTCTTCGATAACGCTCGCTTCTGTTTATCTTTTCGTACACAGTTTCCAACTGAATTAATTTATTTCTCGTAAACCTATGAACACTAAGAAAGCGCGCGGAGCTCGCGCCCCGCTTGGAAGATGCTTAATATCTACAAGGTTTACACTCCCCGGATGTCTAAGGTGAGAGAAAGAAGACGCTATCCTTGCACAGAACAGCAGCACGAGAGAGGTGGCGATCGTAGAAGGAGAAAACAAGAAGAGGATCCACGCGCCTCCGTGTTGCTCCCAGAAAATTACTCCGATTATTGTTCTTACGTTCGTTAAACCTCCTCCTTCAGATTATCATTCGACCAATGTCCGATTACGTCCCACGTGTAAAAGACTCACACACATCCCGAAGAAACGTAGCAACAAACAAATGTAGTCGCACCGAAGAAAGTATCGTCTCTTTTCACATTTGCGATCCGCAATTCGAGATCTTTGTTCTTCTTCCTCGCCCCCTCCCTCTCCCACCCACGAAAGGGACACCCGGGTGCACGTGCGTGTGCTAAACATAATTAATTAACAATACATTAATCTGTAGTGCGTAAATCTAGTGCGCTTACGGCTCGAGAAGAGGAGAGACGACTGGAGTCGGGAGCGTGGTGAGGGTAGTGAGGGTGGGTAGGGGAGAATGGTGAGAAAGCTGATCGCTTAAATTACTTAGGCGACTCGCAAAATCATTCCTCGTCGGTTCTTTCTTTCCTATAACCGTCCTTTCTTTCTTTCTTTCTTTCTTTCTTTCTTTCTTTCATTCTTTCTTTTGTTCCTTCTATCCTTCCCTCCTTTCTTTCCTTTCGTTTCTCTTTCCCTTTCTTACGGTTGCAGCCTTCTTCCGGGTCACGTCGAGAGCCACGAGTCGCGCCCATACCATTTAACGCCCCGCGGCATCGCACGCTAAACAATAATTACTTTAGTTTTATTATCATTTAGTATCACATTACGTTCACTGTTTTGTGCTGGCCGTTTTTGCCTGGCTTTGCGAGAGCGCACACCACCCCTCCAACCTCTCTTTCTGCTCCGTTCTTGTCCACCCGCCGTCGCGACGGCGCGACGGTTCCCGCGAACGACGCGACGGGGAAAAAGTGAAGAAGAGAGAAGACGTACCGATCGGTATATTTCCACCCCGAGTGATCGCGATCGCGAGGACGTGCGGTAATGCGGGAGCAACAGAGAAAGATAGATGCGAAGAGAGAGATAGAGAGAAAAAGAAAGAGAGGGGGAGGGAGAGACAGAGAGAGAGAGAGAGAGACAGAGAGAGAGAAAGAGAATACCGGTTGGTCGTGTTTGCAGGAAAAATAATTCGTTTTCCTTTACGATACGCGTACGCTTCATTTGGATAGCGGATATACGAGACGCTCGCCGAGGCAGAGAAAAAGCGAGCCGTTAAGAAATTTACATCTTTGTCTTTTACTCGCGCGATTTTCCTTCTTGTGGGATTTGCGTGACAGATTTAAACTAATTAATGTACACTGTCGAACCATTTTTCTTTTCATCTTACTCTTTCCGTTTATTTCTTTTCGATACGATCAATATAATAGTTAAGTATACGTTAAGATCGTGATATCTTCGAAGTACAATTCGAAGTACAGTTGCCGTTTTAAAACTTATAAACGAGAGAATGGAGCTGTGCGAAATGTCACGTGTTCTCGTTTAAGAAGAAAAATTGTGCCGGTCGCTCGTGCCGGCCGCATGCTCTTGACATGACGAGTTTTTCTTTTTCTTTTCTATCCTTTCTTCCTTTTCTTTTTTTTTATATAAAAATGTCTTTGGTGTGAACGTATCGAAACTACACTTCGCCAGAGCGTACATATTCTTTCCTTTCCTTTTCTTTTTTCTTTAATTCTCCCCGTACAATCTTCCGCTCATTTTGCATTCACAACTGTTAGTTCCTTCTGTCTGTTTCTTCTCAAAACATTTCGTCGGTGAGTCGATTCGAGTTTCCTTCGTTTCTTCTTTATTCGTCTAAAAATTCGAGCATCATCGAGGTGGTATAATTCTTGTATAATTAAGGAGCAAAAAAGAGGTCGAGGTCCTTCAAGGCACCTTAGGTAATATAATGCCTATTTAGAAGAGAAAATAATAGAGAACATGACGTCCTGCGTCAAACAAAAGTGAGATTAAAGAAAGAGAAAAGCTACTAGATACAACAACTTAACTAGCCTTAGCGAAACTTGAGAATTTATTCGAATAAATCTTAAGGCTTTCTCTACGTGAATTAATCGATATTCTTCCGTTTCCTAAGCGAGCTCTCTCGTATCGTCATCTTAAACGCCTATTGTCTCTTAAGCCTATGAACACATGAAATCACTGCCCAATCGACCAATTTGGACCCATTTGACAAGGCACTCGAGTCGCTGAGTTATACCGAAGGGTATGCGTGTGTGTGTATGTGTATGTATGCATGCGCGTACACACACACACACACACACACACACACACACACATATACACATCTAGAACGGGGTGTCGGGACGTGTGGATGAGGAAGAAGCGGGAGCGCGTCAGATGTGGTAGACGGAGTTTTTCAACACGGCAGAACATTAACAACGTCGACATTTACTTGACAACAAATCACAATCAACAAATTATGAACGTTTGTCGCGGGCAGAGCCGATACAATGTTCTCTTTCATCGTGTTATCGTTACTTTGACAAGCTCGTTTGTTCTTCTTCATTTCGGCGCCCCGACCGAATACCTGCGCGTGTTCCGCAACCGAAACGTATTCGGCTCTCATTGCGAGCAGTTGGTTAGTTCGAGGCGATTGGAGGGCAGGACACCTAATATCTACCTAAGACAGAAATCGGTGGAAAGTTGCTTGGTCCCTTTGCAGTAGCGTGAAATAAATAAATTCTAATCCGTTCGCTTCGCATTTTTTCTATGTAACATTATTTACATTGTTCATGTGTGTATAGTGTGTGCGTGTGTGTGTGTGTGTGTGTGTGTGTGTGTGTGTATGCGTGTTTGTGTGTGTGCGTACGTACGTCCGTACGTGTGTGCGTGTGTGCGTGCGTGCATGTGTGTGTGTGTGCGTGCGTGCGTTTGTATGTGTGTGTGCGCGTGTGTGTGTGTACGTCTATGTGCGTGTAAGGGGGGCGGGATGTGATTAGTCGTACGCGTTGAGGTAAACGGGACGTCTCTCCGGATGCCACGTGTCGCGATTAAAATAAAATAACAACAAACATAAACGCAACAAAGAGACCGCGTTTGATGATCGCGAACTCGTCGGGATTCGGCGCGTCACGATATAATTGACTCTCTGCACGTTCATTGTCCTCCATTGTACTTTTCCCAGATTGTGCTCGACGACCGCGCTAGTAATCGCACGCCTCGGGTCGCACGTCGAGCACTGACAGAAGCTCCTTAACGTCATATCAATCGCTATCGTTTTCGTTTGTATACGTAATAAAATATCTCGGGAGAAGTCATCGGTAAGCCGGCTCCGTGAACATTTCGTGCGGACGATCCTTTCGAAAACTTTGTTACTTTCCGTTTTCCTTCTCTCCTGCTTTTCCTATTCTTTTCTTTAGCAAAGGCGCGTTTCCGGTGCTGCGTGTCGTCTGTCTTCGAAGAAACCCGACGAGAGACTCGACAGATCCGTAAGTTATTCTCTCTCTCTCTCCCTCTCTCTCTCTCTCTCTCTCTCGGATCGTGTCACCTCGCTTAGGAATTACGCGTTTAAACAGATTGAATCTGGATTTAAAGGAACGTACATTTCTTCGTCAGACACCACGACACCATCGTGCCTCACGCGTACGTGCTCTTTGTAGTGCTTTCGTGTGCGCTTCGCAGTAGCGTTCGATCGATGAAACGAACGTCCGAAACGAATGGCGATCCCCTCGGATTGCGTGCGAATTCAACGCAACGATTTTTGAATAGCGCACAAACCGAGAATCGCCGCTGCGAGGATTGCCTACACATGCACTTTCCACGCGGCAAAGGCACTTTGTGCTCCTCATTACACACAGACCAATGTTAAAGTGTCGCTCAGAAACGTTACAATTTCTGAAAGGTACCACGAGTGACCGCAATCAGAACGCGCGCGCGATATTTAGCAAAAATACCAAATACGCGTGTGCGTTCCGAGAAAAGTTTGTCTAAATACAATAAAAATTTATCTCCTCGCATGCCACACACATTTTATAATAAATTTATTTTTTCAATTAACGTATTCATTCGGTTCGATCCACTTTAACAATTACCGAAAAAGATTCTTGCCACCAGATACAGATCCGTCGCAAAACTTATCGGGGAAGAGAGTATTGCATTTTTTGTTTTTCTTTTCTTTTCTTTTCTCTCGCGCAGCTCTAAGATAACTTCTTCAAAGTGGTCTGATTAGCGACAGAGAATCCCAACCTTCCTCTAACGATCTTTGAGGAATGGTAGAAAATATCGCAGGACTCGTCATATCGCGTTCACGGAGTACTCCTCAGCACCGGATGGCCTTTGATCTTGTCGCTAGTCGCGTATATGTAGATTCTTGCTGAGTAGCATATTGTTGTGCGGCCCCGACAGATGCCTAATGAGTTCTTGCAGACTGTCGAAGCTTAATGAGCAGAAGCAGCACGTAAAGGTATTATCGGGCGCGGCTATCCGACTCCTGTGCACCGAGCACAGATGCTTCAGCAGATGAGCCTTTTGTTTGAACATAGCGACACAAATTCTACACGCGAATGGCTTCTCGCCCGTGTGGACTCTCAGATGAGTCTTCAGATTCCATGACATGCCGAATTGCTTGCCGCAGTAGGTGCACCGATAATCTCGGACGGGGGTGGACTTCGGCGGGTCTTCCGTTGGCGGCGGCGGTGGTGCTCTGCTAGGTGGCAGAGTCCAAGCACTCCAAGGTGGCTCAAGGACCGCCGCTGACGCAGGATCGGCGCTCGGCGGTCGATGTGACGCTCCTGGTGGTGTCACTGACCTATCCTGCTGCATCGATAACATGCGTGTGAGTAACAGAGAGACATTCAAGCGGAATCGTAATACGGGGGAAAAAGGTTCGATAAAGTTCGTAGGGTGACAAACAAGCTGAATTCCACGTGACGGAACCTTTTCGTAAGGTCGAGACTGAACAAAAGCTTGGGAAATTAAATATCCCCTTAAATAGAGGCTTTGCCTTTCGAATAATTGGTTTTCCTTCATCAAAGAAAGGAGAAGGAAGTACTTGTATGATGATGAGATCGCGGGGAAAACTTTGTTTATCTTGAACGCGTGTTCCGAAGTGTTGGTCGAAAGTACAAATAGTCGAATATGGATTACCAGGTACGGTGGTGCCGAAACACTCAAGGGATGTGGCGCTTGCAACCTCCTGGGCGTTTCGAATCCGGGATTGAAGGGTACGAATGCCGGGTTTTGTGCGGGAGCGTTGTGGAAGCCTGGCCTTCGCTTCCGATGAGGCGTCACCACGTACGCCTCCGCCGGTGCGATCGGCAGTTCTTCAGCTTGCGGTTTCCCGGCATCTAAACCTAACGCGAGCCGTGTCGCTAGCTGTCTTCTCCTTTCCTCGACCTCCTCAAGAGATTCTCGCCTCTCGAGCAACTGCTTTTCGGACCTGCAAGTACGCCACTCTGAAGATTTCTCCCAAGCTCTCAGTCTCTTCCTTACGGATACAATTATCGAACAAATGAAGAACATCTTGCGCTCTTGTCGAACGTCCGTGTAGAATGTTTCTCGCATCTAACATATTTGGCCTTATGTTAACCTTACGTAGTGTATGTTACTGTCTGCTATGTCTGAATTGATTATACGAAATTTATTGCATAAATTGCAGGATGTGGACGCGTATCGTTTCGAAAAAATGTGTATCGGAATTTAAAAAGCGAATCGATTTACCGGAAAGCCACGACACCGAAACAATCACTCGAAGTATAATTTCATTGAACCATTGCAATTGAAATCTCCCCGAGCAAAAAATTGTTAGGGCCATCCTTATGAAGCCTGATAAGACCCTGATAAGGCTGAAAGTAGGATGCTCTGAAGAGATGCCATATTATCACCGATCAGGCCCCGAGATAGATCTTTTAGGAATATCTTAGGTTTTACGAAATGAGGCTTTAATAAGGAGAACTGATGAAGACTATAGAAGAATTATTTAGGGATGCCTTAAATTTTACGAAATAACGCTTTAACATGGAAAACTGATATGGGCCTTAGAGGGATCTTTTAAGGATGCTTTAGATATACAAAATCAAATTTTGTTATAGAAAATTAACAAGATCTGAAGCGTGTAATAAAATTGTCATAGTATTGTTTTAGTAGATACGCTCTATCTGGTTCTTTTAAAGATTTTTTTAATTATACCGCAATTAAAAACAAATGTTATTAGTTTTATTAGTTGTCATATTCATTAGTCTCTTCCAAGGATATTTCTAGTATTGCCTTCGTTTTGAAATGCAACAAACTTTAATAAGAATAGTAGCAGGATTTTTACGTGTAAAGAATGTTATATTTTATTGTAAAGTATGCTATATTTTTAAAGTAAAAAATTCTTGTTGTATATTGACAAGATTATATAAAGAAATAAAGAAATTACAGTCTAAATTTCTCGGAATGAAAAGAACGAATACTTTTACTCAAGCAATAATAAAAATATTTCTTTATGAGGCCCTGTTAATATTGCCTTATAAGGACTCGTTAAACCACTTGTTATATATCTTGCAAGGCCCTTATCTTTCTATCCCTACTATGGCCTGATTAATGTTAGAGTAAAATAATCAGGCCCTTATCAGAGCCCTATTAATTTTTCTACTCGAGTCGTTGCATAACCAGCATATTAGTCATCAGTGTTTGGTCACTTGAATGCAGCTAGAGTGGTACTCGAAAATGGCTAGATATCAGTAATGCTAATATACTTTGAATTTTTTCAGGATATTGTTTCATCATTCGAACGTTGGTGTTTATGGCTTTCCGGGAAATTGTACCGCTTGTCGAATTTCGAGATTTTGAGGCCTCTTCGAGGTCACAATGTGTGTTCACCGCGTGGATTGTAGTCCACGCAATCTGTGTGATCTAACCTGTGCACTATATCGTGCGAGCTTTCACTCGTGGTGGAAGCGCCGGAATTGAGGCTCAGATTAACAGGATCGGAGCTATCCCTCCTTCTGGGCGGCTCAATATTACTTTCCCGGTTGTCGGCAGCGTCGCTCCCCATCCCCTCTACGTCTACTTCCGGTTCTTCCTCACAGTCTTCCGTCTTGATGAGAACCGAGCAACAGTCCGCGGGGTTATTGGACTGTCTAAAAGTTTTTCACATAATAAATCCTGGAGTGTTTTTCGTCGGCGACGACGCGGTGTCGATGCGATCTTTTTTCTATTCGAGTTTAGAATGTAAATCGGATCGATGATGATGTGACTTCACCAAGAGTTAGTACAATCGAGTGTACAATCTGACTCTTTATACAATCGCGCGCGGCAGCCAGAAAATTCGTATCTTCTGGAGATTACACTCGAATTCAACGTGACGCTCAAAGCGACGAGAATTACGTAACGGAGTCACTCAGCGATGAATAGTCTCGATGAATTATAGAAATCTTAGGCTCTTGATTCTTATTATTGTTTATTTACCAACCTGCTGTCGTATTGCGATTCATAGCTGGAGCTCTCCTGGCCCTCTGAGGGCTGTGGAGTTAACGTCCTCTCGGGATCAGAGTTACTGGAGGTTTGAGGTTGATTGGACTCGGACAGCTCCGACTTGATCTGAAGAAGCTCGAAGAGTTCCTTTAATGGTATGAGCTCCGTCGACTACACAGAGGGACATTTTTTCGCGTCAACATTTCGATCACTCGAGATATCATTTCCTTATGTCAGTGTTACGCAGACAACTGCTCGAAAAAAAAAGAAAACAAACATTTCTATTCGCGCGACGGTTGTCGTAAATTCTATAAAAGTCACACGTTGGCCGCGTTCAGCAGAAATAGCTGCTTACTGATTATCGCTCAGTGATTATCGCTCCTGATTGGTTCATTCCCTTGGACTCGTTAAAGATCTAAAAGAATCTCTCTGATCATAGTTGATAATCACTAAGTGCTTAATAATCAGCTTTGTCTGCTGAACGCGGCACCATTGTAAGATTGATGTCCGTATAATGGAAATAAAATACCGGTATCAATGCCTCGCCGTTGTACAGGAACTCCAACAAGTGATTCAACTGAGTCTTTCGGACGCCCGATAAGTGAACCACGTGGTCCAGGGCAGGATTCCGAAGTAGACTAGCTAAGAGAGGGCTGGCTGCTGCCAAAACGACGCGGTGAGCCTTCACAATGGATCCATCGTCGCATGCTAGAGTCACATCCACATGACGATCTCCACTGTACCAGGCCCCGACCTCTGCGGCCAAGGTCGCTGGGTGTTTCCCATAGTGGAGCGTCAAGAGACCGTCGGTATACATCGTCTGCAAGAAAAATCAGAACGGCAAATATAATTTATCGCGACGATGCGCGCGCGAAGTTTCGCCGTCGGCTTCAAGGATGCATCTCACTCGAGGGAGAAACGACACGAGCGACAAAATAGACAAATACCAAGATAGGTGCTGTTTAATCGAGTATAAAATCTAAATCTGACAAAAGATACAGTCGTGCCTTGCATCCTTCAGCGTAAATCGAACTCGAGTTGTACGAGAATGCTCCTCCTGCTTCTCCTCTTCTTCTCTCTCAGCTTTTTACGATAAATTAACTTCAGCATTTGCAACAACTCGTGTCGAAGACATAGGGGGAGCGCAGCGATTTTCAACCGGTGTGCCGCGAAAATTTCTAAGAATTTTAATTGTTATCTTCTTATTATACAAATTATAACAAATTGTATTGTTTCGTTTTTGTGGCCATGATGGTGCATTTGGTTTGTGTTAATAAATAAATCATAAAAGGTATATTCTTTTTTATACTCTTTTTTGATCATCATAATTTAAGTGTGCCGTGAGATAAAAAAGGTTGAAAAACACTGGAATAGTGTGACGCAAAAGCCGAGTTTTCAATCGCAAAGTTTTTTCGAGTCCTACAACACTCCAGCTCCGAATCGTTGGACAAGCTCGTAAACGAGAATTATATTAACTTTCACAAGCTTCCTGGCACACGTTTTGCTCTTGCGGTGAGTCAGTAAACAGCCGCAAATTTATTATAGCGCATTGGGAGAAAATGGAACATGGTTATAGGCGAAATTATGTGGTGAAACAGTTTATCCCGCGTCCTTAACCCAATAAGCGGTCTCGTCGCCTTGCGTGATACGAAGACAGCTTCGTTACATTAATTTCCTCCTTTCGTGTCTCGACTCTCTTAGAAACGGCGGAAGAGAGTGACGTGTCACAAGATCATGTTTCTCACGTTCCCTTACATCTACGCAGCTCTCTCGTTTGACCATGTCAAACATGTTTAACGGTGCGGTACGTTAATTATCCAGTTAGAGTCGATTCAAACAGACGCGTTTACTTCGGGTAATATCTTTAATCGCATCCAAATCGGCCGTCCTTAAACACGCGAGTTGGAAAATCACAAAAATTACGAAACAAAAACCCGATAGGTATACTTTGCATCTGTCAGCGTCAATTAAATCGCTTCGTGCATTTTCGCAAGTCGATCTATCACTCGATAAGCGCGTGTGCGTGTAAGAGAGAGAGAGAGAGAGAGAGAGAGAGAGAGAGTGAGTGGCGGGGGGAGAGGGAGAGGCCTCTTTCGTTCTTTTCGTCTCTCAGTTTCACGATAAATCAAATCTGAAATGGAATCCAGAGTTAACAGCCGAATGATTTATAGACCTGCCCGGCGTCGAAGAAAAATCTCACTAACCTTGTCGGCTGATCGGAGAAAAACTTTCTGTCAAAATCGATCGAATGCAGTTCTCCGCTGATTAAGTTCTTATCTCGGGAACAATATTGATACGGCGGCACGTTACAGCACGCTCCCGCGGTTGGAAGCAGGCCGTGAAAAAAGTGCGCCCGATCGGCGCAGCACGTGTGCATACGCAATAAATATTCCATTCATCCATGTCTAAGATTCGCAACAGTTTAACGCGGCCACGGCTGAGAATCGAGAATTAACGGCTGATCGAGCATTCCTTCGGTTTCTCAAGGGGAGCCGAGAGAGAGAAAGTCCGGTTTCACGTTATATTCTCAAGGAGCAGAAGTATAATCAATATTATGAAACCAATGCCGTAAGCATCGAGGAGTTCCGCAATGTCAAACGTGTCCCGCGCGCGAGCATACAATCCGTTATAAAAGTGAGCATATCCTATCGGTTACCCGTGAGATTTCCTTTTCCGCGACACGTCCGAGGATACGCGATACAGGTACCGTCTCGCTCGTCTTTACCAATACAGCGCTATATTTTCTAGTCTCGCCTCAGGACGATTATAAAAGATTATAAAAGGCGTCCGTCTCTTGCTCAACGGGAGATTTCTTTCGCAACCGCAGAAACCTCCAGGATTGGACAGGAGGACGGATGCGTTCGAAACTCGCGCAAGAGATTGCGGACATCCTTCCTGCCCATGATGCGTACGAATATTGCACAGGATATCGATCCCGTTGCCGCTTATACATATAAATGTGCAATCTACGTCCGTAATGGCTCGCGCGCGCTGTTATTGAAGAGCGTCTCACGCTCGCGACGGTGACCTTGGGCGGGCAGCCCGATCGAATTCGAAAGGGAAGACCTTGGCTAAGAGTCACGAAAAAGGTGCTAATACCGTCGTGGAATAATAAATCATCGAAAGTAGCGCGACGAGTCGCCGCCGTACGTGTCGAATTCGGCATCGAATATGCGCACATCTGACCAGCGCGGCGGGATTGGCGTTTGTTCTTTCTCAGAAGAGCGCCTCTCTCCTCGGGACGAATTCTGCATTAGAATCTGCATTAGAGAGGAGAGAGAGAGAGAGAGAAGGCGAGAGAGAGAGAGAGAGAGAGAGACCGCGTTACGCAACTGGAAAAATTTGCATCCGCTTGCTCCGCGCGCGTGATTAAGAAAATCATATCGCTGAGAGCCTCGCTGGCGAGTCACCGCGGGACGCGAAGACGCGAAGGGAGCGCTGCCCGCTGGACAATCGTCCTTCACACATCTCGCTTCCGAGACGCCTCCCTCTCCCACACACAGCGTCCCTTCCAGTTTCCCACAGTCGCGCGAGCGAGTCGCACGTGATAAACCAAACAGAAGGACATTAATTTCGCAATGAGCTTTTTGCACGCGAGCGTCACGCCGCCGCGAGCAGAGAGACGTGATGGCCGGGACAGGCGATAATTAGCCGAAGCGAAAAGAGAATTGCGAGGAGCGATTTGAAGCGATCTAAAAAAAGAAGGCGAGTCCTTCGTGCGCGCGCAGCTAAGAGTCGCGGCGCTCGCGCTCGTTCGCTCGCATGCGTAACGTCTCGCCGGTCCGTGATACCGAAGAAATCGCTAAATAAGGAAATCATTGCTGCGCGCCAATCGTCGCCAGTCGTTGCTGACACCGGCGCTGCAGTTGTTGCTGCTGTTGCTGCTGCTGCTGCTACCAGTAAGCAGCGGCTGAAGTTCAGGGTCGGTCCATACCGGACGACCGGATTACGCTTGCGCTTATGCGGCTCACATTCTTCTTCCTTCTTCTATTTGGACCTTGACGAGTTGCCGGGCGGGGTCTCGTGCCGCTCGTTACCTGGTGGGGCCCGCTCCCGTGCGCGCCTCGGCTCGCGCGGGAAGCCGACCACCCCGAGCCAGCTGGGACCTCTGGAACCGGGCGCTGTTTTACCGACCGAGTCGGGGAGTCCTAGGCATCGGGTGTCGGTAAGGCGCGCTTTCACGGCGGTTGGTACGTTGAACGGCGCGCGGGAACTTGAAGGCGCAGGTAACGCGACGCAGCGCACCGTAACAGGGATTTCGCGGCGTACGGGAACTGTCGCGCGGTAATTCCACAACGCACTGGCGTCGTCCGGCGGGAACCGCCAGATCGCTCGGGGATGTGCGTCGACACACCGCGAGAAGAAACGCGCGAGCGCGCGAGGTAGCTTTCCGTTACTGCGGACTGCGACCGCGAGTCGTAAAAGTGTAACGTTGCCATGGTCGTGGCGCGGAACGCGGAGCAGCCATCTTCTTTTCGAGCCAGTCGTTGCACGCGAGATCGTGAGGTCGTTATTCCGCTTATTTGCGAACGTAAGACGCGTGTTGTTGTTCTCCTCCGTATCGCGCTGGAGCGTTCGCTCCGGGCGCAGCTGGCTCGAACGATGAATCAGTTCGCCGATGCCGTCGAACTTTGTCCAATAACAATCGCGGTTACGAAATTGGAAACTGGAGCGCGCGCCGCGCGAGGCGGCAATCCAATTTCGATAAAAGTTCCGCGAGGGTTAATTAAATTTCGACCGTGCCGACTAAATTCCTCGCGCGAATGAAAACGCGCGCGGTATCAGCTTTCGTCGCTTTCCCAAGATTTAGGGCGCGCGCGTATTTTCGGGGGACTCCCGCTCGCGCTCTCCTCTCAACTCTCCGCAATTTCTTCGCGAGTCGAAAGGTGACACCGTCAACATCGCGCTTTCGTCATCGCGTGCGCGCTGAATCACTCGGGGACTCGAATTGGTAACAGGCCACGGCGCGGTGGCCGCGACGACGGGAGAAAAGGGAGAAAAGAACGAGGGGAGAGCAGAAAGAAAACGAGAAAAGAAGAAGAGAGACGGAAACACGAGCATCGCGAGCGACGTGAAACCAGCGCGAAAACGATGCCGGGGGTCGGCAGACCTCAGATAAGAGGAGAAAGTCGATGAATTCGTGAACGCTATCGTGGCGAATCGGCCACGGCGGCGTCGTCGCTCGCTTATCGCCATTGTGTGCGTGTGCACGCGCGTGTGTGTGTGTGTGTGTGCGCGCGCGTATGACGTGTGAGTGTGACTACGCTCTCACACAAACACACATGAGTGCACGCGTACACATACGCGTACAAAAGCGTGTACTTTCGTCTGCTAGCGGCGGCGGCGGCGGTGGCGATGCGAGCGCACGCACCCACACACACACACACGCACGCACGCACGCACGCACGCACGCACGCACGCGCGCGCGGACGAGGCGACGATGCACGCGGTACCACGTACGTACACGCGAGCATTATAATCTCCTATCCGGATGGCGGACGTTACGATCTACCATTGAATTGAACAATGGCGAAACTGGGTTACGCAAATGTCGAGGCTGGAAATTAAAGCGCGAGACAGCGGGGGGTTGGCGAGGAGAGGAGGAGGAGGAGGAGGGGGGCGCTCAGCAGGCGAGAGGGAGAGCCCGCGTCGCGGTTCGGCGATGAAAAAAAAAACAGAGTTCGCGCGCCATTGAAAAAAGAAAAGAACAGAACGGGAGAGAGAGAGAGAGAGAGAGAGAGAGAGAGAGAGAGAGAGAGAGAGAGAGCGCGGGCTTAATCGGAGGAAACGCGAGCGGTTCGTTAAATGCGATTGCGTGAG